GAATGAAGAAAACCCAGACATGTAAGAGGAGGGGAAGAGAGAAGCAGGCATGCTGAGGAGGAACATTCAACACTCTCCCACTTCCCCTGCAATTCTAAGGGACAAACTTTTGATTTTCTTTTCCATCCAATCTATGTTTTTCTGAGCCACTCGATTTCCAAGGGACTTCTAACCACAGGTTTCTTACATCCCATGATTCAGCATATACATTAATCTGTATTGGAATATTGTCTTGCCCTTCAAAGTGCCTTAAACTCCAGGAGTAGAGACTGAACCACATTCTTTGGGTCATTTCTAGAGCAACTAAGCATAGGAACCACACAGAATTAGTCTGAAATCCCAAATTCTGCCATTGTTGGCTGCATTGTTTTAAGTAAATTATATAAGATGATGTAAAAGTATGAACTCTTGATATGGCATGATTAGTGCTGACTCTTGGCTGCAAGGTATGTTATAGTGAACAAATCACTCAAGCATGTTACACCACAGTTTCATTAAATGGAGGAAACAGAAGAGCCTACTTCATATTGAGAGAATTAAGTGAAATAATTAAAGTATTTGGAATAATTCTTGCGCCCAGTAAATGTTAACTATTATAATTTGCCCCTTTGAGCATCTATTTCCTCCTCTGTAAAAGGATGCCATCCACCTTGAAGGACCGTGATGAGTATTACACATAACAGATAAAGTACTTAGCATAATATATTGTACTAGTAAATGTAAGAATTGTTAGTGTCTAATCAGTTTTTATCTTTCTGTTAACAGGAAAGCAACGTTGTTGGGACTGATTAATGTGACTTTTAACACTTACAGAGTTTGTATTATTAAAGACACCATGCTACAATGTAGGAATTCAGTTGATCACAACTAAAAAAGGACTACGTTACCTAAAGTATAATGTTGTCTGAATTAAATTGTGAGACTCTTTGGGATAATAGTAATGCAGAGCATGTATGTCTGATTCATTACTGGGATCCCCCAAGTCCTGATATATTGTACTGAATACATGTGCTGAATGTAAACATGAATGAATGGCTATTAAACAATAAAAAAACTGAGAGGTGACAATGAACAGTCATAAGTAAATAACTATGGGTACTTATAAAGAAAAAAATTATTTCCAATTGGAAAGAATAGAGGACATTTCATGAAGGTCTTAGAATTTGAAGAGTTCAAAGGAAAAAGAGGACATTCCAGGATGAGGGAAGGCATGAGAGAAAGGAAGAACTAATTAATTTTTTTTTTCAAATTATAGATTAATCACAGTATAGAAAAGTGAAAAGAATTAGAGATTAAGACCTCAGCTGCAAGTAAGTAAACAGATTTTTTAAAACTAAAAGGTATATTACATTTACTGATGGAAAATTGTGATTATTATTTTAATTTTCTTTATATTGGAAAATTACAATCACAGAGACAATATGCAATCATTCCCTGTACTCATACCTACCCCCAAAAGTACTAATTCAGGCTGTATCTTATTTCGTCTACAACCATTCACTGCAAATCACAAACACTCTATAATTTCAATTTTAAATGTTTCTGTATATATCTCTAAGTGATAAGATCCTTTCTGCAAGCATAACTACAATGTCATTATCATAATTTATGAAGTAATAAAAGTCATTGATATTGTCAAAATTCTGTGTTCATATTTTTCTACTTTTCCCATAATTTGTTTCATAATTTTCCTGGATTAAAAAAAAAAAAATCCAACTAAGGTCTATACATCGCTCTCTGTCTCCTCCTTCCTTCCTTCCCATTTAATCACTTTATATAAAATAAAACATACAGCAAAAAGCACTCAATACATACGTACAAGCTAATGATTTTTTTAAAGTGAGCACTCAGTCCAGGAATAGAACTTGCCAGTTAAACTGAAGGCCTGCCACTGGCCCCAGGTCAACCACATCTCCTTTACTACCATCCAAAGTTGCCATATCTATACTTTCATAGAAAAGTCACTTCTCTGTTTCCATTTATAATTTTATCACCTAGGTGTGTATCTTTAAACATTCTAGTCTGGGCCCTCCTGGTGGCACAGGCGGTTGAGCACAGCACTGCAAAGCTGTCCGCAGCCTCTGCAGTGCTGGTTTGATCGCCGCCAGTTGCAGAGCAACCCACATGGCACTGCAGAACTCTCCTTTCTTGCCCGTTGATCCCCTCAGCAGTGTATTTTAGGCAGTCTGCCTGTTCTGCTCCCCACTCTATTTCTGGTGCATCCTCTCACCCTCCCGCAATTGTGGCCTGTACCTTGGTTCTTGTATAAATAAAATAAATCTTTTAAAAAAATTAAAAAAAAAAAATAAACACTCTAGCCTTATTCTTACTTTAAATGTGTCTTACATGTCTCTTTTAATGCATAAATTTCACTCCACGCTTGCTTGGTTTTTTTAATGCAATGTTACTTCCATTAGAAAAAGAAATAAAATTTATTTTAAAAAGATCAATAGAGCATGCTTTTCTTTTTTTAAAATTTATCTGCTGGATACCCCAGGGCATTTCAACTATAGAATTTCCCATAGCCTGGATTTTGCTGATTGCAAACTCATGGTACAGATCAATATATTCCTCCATTCTCTGTATTGTCTGCAAAATGGTAGTGAGATCCAAAGGTTGTATCAAACTTGTATTTAATCTACTTGGCACAATTATAGTTAACGTTGTGTTCTTTCATTGAAGAAATGTGTCTGGCAGCTTCTATCCTGATAATATTATCATTATTGATGTTTAAACCTTAGATTTATTAATCTGTTGGAGGCTGAAATATGATTACATTCTATCCCTATCATTTCCTTTTCACTTATTAGTAGAAATATTCTTATAAAAACACACTTCTCTGTACTATTCTATATCCCATATACTTACTGGAAAGGTATAACAAATACTTGATTTTTTCTATTTACCAGTTTTCAAGAAAATGAACTGATTTCCTATTGCTATCTAAATGTGATCAATTAATTTAAAAAAAATCATTATGAATGTATGGGTTTGAACTTAATTCATGGGAGTCAACCCTTTGTAATTCATATCCTAACTGAAGTTTAAACTTTTCCATCTTTAGCCAATGGAAGATTGTTAAAAATGACTCCTAAATCATTTCATTAAGGTCTTAGGTATGCTAACAATTTCAATCATGACAATGAAATTGTCTATTTCTTATTTTAATTGTGTTGACTTTTGCCTCACTGTTTTGAAGCACTCTTAGCACATATACCATTGCTATTTTCATGCCTTCCTGGTGAACTCTTTATTAATCTAAAAAGCCCTCTTTATTTCTAATACATTATCTCTGATAATATTTATTATCTTACAATCTACTTAATATAAAATCAGTATAGCCATTCTAACATTTTTTTGTTTTGTTTTGTTTTGTTTTTTTAAAGATTTATTTATTTATTTATACAAGCACTGGGTACAGTCAGAAGCGCAGGAGGGTGGGAGAATTTGCCAGAGCCAGAGTGGGGAACAGAACAAGCACACTGATGAAATACACTGCTGAGGGGAGCAGCGGGCGGCAGGAGAGGTCTGCGCACCATGTGGGACCCTCCTCCAGTGGCCGGGGAGCAGCCGGGGATCGAACTGGCACTGCAGAGGCTGCGGGCAGCTTCACAGCCCAGCGCTCAACCGCTGCGCCACCAGGGGAGGCCCAGCCATTCTAACATTTTTATTCATCTTTGATTTAAAATTTTTCTTCCACTTTTTCTCAGTTTAGCTTCATTTCTGAAATTATTTAGTTGACTGAGTAACAAAATTTCTGGACTCTTCTAATTTTTATTTATGTTTCTCATTTTGTGTCATTTTAATGTCTTGCAGCACAATTTGAAATAGTATTTTATAATATAAACTCTGATATGCCTTTTTCCTGTAGAAATATTTTTCTACTTTTCATTATCCTTTTTATTAAAATTTTGGACAGGGATTTATAGTGACTCTTTTGTGTTGCACATTTTTATGTGAAACTAGTTTATTCTGAACCTTAACATATGCCAGGTATCTTCAACAGAGATTCTCTTCAAAATTATTGTGTTTAGATTTTCTAATCTTGCTCCTCCATGGTCAGCTGGTTCTTTGATTTCCTACCTCTACATTGTCCTGATGCATTCTATGTTTAATTTGACTTCCAGCAGTTTGTCTTTAATGTGGCTGGTCATTTGTAGAGTTCTGAGGCACCGGAACTATTCCAATTCCTTCAGCATCTCTTACTCTTGGTCTCCTGGACTTCCCCTCTACTAGAAAGCAAAAAGCTTTCCCGATTTCAGCTGTTGCTCTCAATTGGCCCACCAAGGTTTCCGGTGAGGACCCACTGGCTTGTTTGTGGTTCTTCAGTTCTCAGCTTTGCCACACACCACATTACTATTATGTGTTCCTTCCCGTAAATGCTGTTTCTGTATGAGTCATGTCAGTGGTCTATCCTGCTTGCTTTACTGAAAGTGTTTGTTGGAGATAACTTGTAACTGAATTTTGTTGTTAACTTTGTTTGTGAGTTTTTGGCTTTGGTTTATATGGATATCTGAAGAGATTCAACATGTAAACTGCTACAATAAATACTACTTCCAACACTTTTGTTTTTAATTAAACACTTTTCAGATATGTCAGATGTAGAAGAGACCACAGAAGGACTGTGTCCACAAATAAAAGCAAACAAGAAAACATATACAAGTAAAAACTACAGAACTGACTAATCAAGGAGTTGAAATTTATCAGATGAATTAGCAACTTCTGACTTCACTTAGCAGTGAAACTGTGTTTCATATGAAGTTAACATAAATAAGGCAATTCTAGGATTTCAGTGAATAAAATTTAAGAAATGTGGGTTGAGGCAAAACATTCTTCACCCTTCCTTTAAAGTGGTACAAAAGGAAGATGCAGATACAGGTATTATAGGATTAATAAGGAAGAAATTAAACCGATGAGAAAAATCCCAGTTTATACATTACTAACCCAAGTAATAATTATTGTCATTTTAGAGAGGGTAAAATAACTTCTCATTTGCTTACCTTATACCAAGTGATGCTTGGTTTGACACTGGAAGGAAAAAATCCATCTACATTTGGGCAAGAGATCTTCTGTACACCAAATTCTAGATATATTTTATGTACTGGGAGTTTCATGGGAGACTTGAAGCAGTTATCTTTTTGAACAACTTCCAGAGGAAATGCAACTTTACTGCAATATGTGGTATTCCTATAATGAGAAATATTCAGTGAATGGGTAGTCTTACTTTCATTTGATTTAATGGAGCAAAACCATTAAAATGAACTAAGTGAAGCCATTCTATATATTGAGATTGTCTTTATAAGTATAAGTTCATGTAAAAATTAAATGCTTCATTGAAGTATTTCCTATACCACAGGACCTCACAAAGTAAAAATGACACAATTAACAATTATTGGTATGTAAATATTTTTACATAGTTCCTAAACACATGTGTGTATAGATATGTATGAATGCATGTATCTATACACATACATATTTCACCAAAAGAAAAACATGGTACAAAGAAAATCATGGTACAATCAAATTCATTGTACATATATAAATAAGCACACACATATATATATATGTATTCACACATGATCCTTTACTGGTGTGGGGAATATGGCTTTGTGTCTACACAAATGATCCTGTGCCATGATGTGATATAAGTATACACATGTTTATCCTCAAAACAACCTCAATATCACTAGTAGTTGTGAGAATAACCAATTAACTCAAGTTTTAATGGTATAAAAATTTTTCAAAATAAATGTTTCCAGAAGAACTAAAAATCTATAGTTTTTGCTCCAGTAACCCTGTTCCTGGAATTTTCTTCCTCATGACAGAAGTGTGGAAAAGGAGAATTGGAGAGAGCACATCATCAAAAATGCACATCCAGTGCTACATTAACAAGAAAATATTAGAATCAATGGAAAAATCTACAAAAGGAAGACAATAAACAAAATCATGGGATAACTATTCAGAGGTGTACATACCTGTTAAAAAAAAAAATCAAACCAGAAGAAAAAAATGCTTGTCAACACATAAAACTAATACTTAGGATGACTAGAGGATCATATTTCTATTTTAGAGTTTGCACAGGTTGTTTTAATCTGCCAGGGGGACTCTTCTTATCCCCTCACATTTCACACCAGGGTCTCTGAGTCACCTTCAAACCACCCAACATCTAAATTACATTTCTAATTCTCCAGTGTCCCAGACATTTCCTTAATTAAATTTATTATAGTTCAAGCAAAGATACGATCATGTGTGTGTTTTCTTTTATTTATTGCATCTAGTACAGTGCCTAAACTTTCAATAGATTTTGAATACATATTTGTTAAATGAATGGAATGGGTATAAAACATATATATGTATACATAAATAAATATTTATATTTCATTTATATATGAAAACAATGAAGGGAACATAGATAATAAATGTAACTGATTTTTTTCAGGGTGATGGGTCAATGGGTCATTCACTGTCTCCCCTTTTTGTGTGATTCTCTTTTTTACCGACCACAGATAATCACTTTTGAATTAAAACTGAATTCAATGGGAAATATCCCCACATTCTAGATTTCCTTTATAGTTATATAAGATAGGCATATAGTACATGAAGTTATAACAATCCAGAAATTGGGCCTCCCCTGGTGGTGCAGGCGGTTGAGCACTGCGCTATGAAGCTATCCCGCAGCCTCTGCAGTGCCGGTTCGATCCCAGCTGACTGGCGAGGGTCCCACATGGCGCGGCAGACCTCTCCTGTCTCGCCCGCTGCTCCCCTCAGCAGTGTATTTTGTCAGTCTGTCTGTTCTGTTCCCCGTTCTGTTTCTGGTGAATCCTCTCACCCTCCCACGCATCTGGCCTGTACCCCAGTTCTTGTATAAAATAAATAAATAAACCTTTTTTTAAAAATCCAGAAATTGATAAATAACATTAAAGGTACAATCAGACCTTAATAGCCATGTAGCCTTGCTTCAGTAATATCAAAGAAGTTTAGGAAAGTTTACGAAAGGACTTTAGACAAGTATTCAGTTGCCAAGGAAAAAGCAATAGAGATACTGAGCACTACAATATATAGTGGCAAAGACCCAGGTCATCCAGAAAACTGATGACCCCTTGATGGGTATTCACTGCTATCCTTTTGGGAAATGTAAATGGCTCACCAGTTGTCAAGAATGAAAAGGAACTCAAACAGCATGTAGGCCACCCTTCTCATCATACAGATACAGATACAAAAGCTCTTGGCTGTAAACATGGCTTACTTAATGGTACCAGCTAAGTAGTGGCAGAGCAGAGATGATGGCCTAGTTTTGTCTTATTTTTTTTTAAAGATTTATTTATTTATGCATATAAGAACTGGGGTACAGGCCAGAGGTGCAGGGGTTGAGAGGATTCACCAGATAGACTGGGGAACAGAACAGGCCGACTGACTGAAATACACTGCTGAGGCGAGCGGCAGGCGAGATAGGAAAGGTCTGCTGCACCATGTGGGTCAGCTCCCTGGAAGGCCAGGATTGAACTCATGCTGCAGAGGCTCTGAATAGCTTCACAGTGCTGTGCTTAACCCTTTGAGCCACCACGGAGGTCCAGTTTTGTCTTCTGGTTCAGTGTTCTTTCCATTATAAAATGTTCTGACCTCTCCTAAAGTCTGTATTAGTAAATAAATAATGGGCACATGAGTACTTCAGATTCCTTGGAGATACCAGTTAAGAGTCGATTCCAATAAAATTCAAGTGTCAGATGAAAGACTCAGAAGGGCCTTCTAGAGTTTACAAGGGACTCCTAAGGTCACAGTGATCAAAATTCTTTACTGGGATAAGAAGGTCCATTTTTCACTTAATCATAAAACAGCTTGTGTTTATCAAAGCATACTCATAGTTCCCCATCAGAGAATAGTAAGCATCCATGAGACAAGGAGGATTCAAAAGTTTTAGGATTACTCATTTTTAAGTTGTTTTTCTAAGTTGTTGCATGGCTAGGTTATGTTATTCAGCCCTATTGCTATGCACTGGATTGTGGCCACCCACTCTATCTAGACCTGTTTTCACAGTTTGATGATTTAACCTTCATACTCTAGAATTGACTGTACGTGGAGATAGGCACTGGAAAAGTAATGAATCTATAAGGGTGAGGCCTAATTAAAAATAACTGCTGTTCTTATCACAGGAGAGGATTAGGACAGAGAAGACACAGAAGGAACACCACCAGGAGATATAAAGAGGAGATGGCCATCTAGGAACCAAGGAGAAAAGAAAAAAACCAATACCACCTACACCTTGATCTTGGAAATCTAGCTTCCAGAGCTATAAGCAGGCAAATTTTGGTTGCTTAAGCCACCTAGTCTGTGATACTTTGTTATTACAGCCTGAAAGCTAAAAAGAGAATTGGGGGAAAAGATGGCTCCCCCAAACATTAATCTGTAGTAGAACAAAATTAAGTATACTGTGGAATAAAATGTAAAATCTAGATGAACTTTCAAGGAAAAAAAGCAGATTTGAAAGAAAGTTTGTACTAATAGAGTGTTTGGATTATATGCTTAGATTCCCAGAGGTCTGGTGCCCATCTGTGTCTTAAGTGAACTTTAGTGTAAAAGTTTGAAATGCATTGTTCTGACTACATTTGGTGTCTTCCAAATAGTCTTTCTTCTAGGAAAGCATACTGAATCTTTATTTTGTGCTAGGCACTTTAAAAGGTTCCAAGAATGGGAGATATGAATGTGTTCTCATTCCTGCTTTATTCATTGTCTAGGAATATAGATGCCTCCATGTGTGGCAAAAGTGTAGGCACATTTTAATGTCAGGGAAAGAAGATGAATAAATAAAAAAGGCTCCACATACAGACAACCCTGATATATATCAGGATTTGAAAATAAATCAGCTATGGAGAATGTTCTGAAGAACCCAATCATTTTCTCTGCACACTACTTTCAGTTAACCTTAACTAAGTCACAAAGAAGAAGTGTAGCTCTTTCTAAATACTTCCTTCTCATTTGCAACTTCATAGTACATAGTACATAGTACTTCCTTCATAGTACTTTGCTGGACGAAGGCCCAGGAATGAAAAGGAAAAGAGAAAGTCACTGCCAAGAGTCAGGCTACCTTAACATGCAAGTATAGTTGCCTGTGTCATTGAGGAGGGTGGGCCGGAACCAAAGCACATCTTTCTCCTTACTAATGCGGTTCTCAGGGAGACGGAAGTTAATTGGCTCCTCAAGGTCTCGGTCCTGCCTAGTCCAATACCAGATGAGAGTAAGGCCAGCTGAATGGGCTGTGCTGTAGTTATATTTCAAGAAGTGTTCAAAGAGTGGGCACTTGATGCGAGCTGGCTCGTCTTCAAACACTTGGATCTGCCTCATGGTATCTAGTCCCCAGTCATCACAGCGTTCTGGAAAAAAACAAAAAGAAAGGACAAATGAGTCACCTCATGTTCAAGGCCTCCAGAGAACACACCTTGTGTTTAGAATGCCCAACCTTCCTCAATACCCCCTTCTGGAGTAAACTTCAATAGCCTCTCTAATAATTGTATGCAACTGTCGGTGTGAAGAAATGACTTCCCCTCATTCCTTTATCAGCTTTGAACTATCTATTGGTTAACAGTTTGATCAGAAAGCTAGATCCTGTTGAAGCCTATAAGCCCTATGGGATAGAATCTTATCTGATAAAGAAGTCATGTGTTGTTTCACTTCGCTGGAGTCAGAGAAAGTTCTAAGGAGAAAATGGTAACTGAAATGATAAACCTTAAAGATTCGTGTTGCTCCACAGGTTCTCCTCATTTGGAAGCTAGATTAGTACTGCTCAATAGGAATAGAATGTGAGCCAGATATGTTGTTTTAGATGTCCTCATTGCCACATTAATAAAACAGATGCAGAGGAAACAAATTTTAATAATTTTTAAAACTTGATATATCTAAAACACCCCCAAATTTTAAATTATTTTACATTTACATTATTTTGTGGGCACTAAATCTTCAAAATTCAACCTGTTTTACACATACTGCATATCTCAATTTGGGGCTTGTCACATTATCTATCAACTACCATATTGGACAGTAGCACTGAAGACCTTAAGAAGTGAAGAAGTCACAGCAATTCTCCCTGGGAACAAAGGTCCTAGAGTTTCAATGACTGAGTCAAATAAAATGTGTAATGGCTTTATAATTTGTTTTTAATAATGAAAAGTAATCACTTTCATTCAGGAATTAAAAAAAAATAAACCATGTTAGTAAATGACTTTTTAAAAGAGTTTTATCTGAGTGGAGACACTAGATTTCATCTTAAGGACGCAAGAAGAGAGGTCAGGGCTGATACAGTCTTAGATGCCCAAAACAATCATCCTAAAACAGTTTTCTTTTCACTTTTCACCTTACAAACATACACACATAAGCATGTGTCTATATATCTGTATCTATAAAACTGTACTATTTTTGACTTATTTAAGTTGATATCTAAAACTTTTCATACTTTACATGTATAATAGTTGGAAAGGATATACTTAGTGTTATTTTTGCAAATAATGCCTTTTTAAAATAAGATGTCTATGCTAAACTTTTAATACATCATTTAATAACAGTGGAATAATGATTTAACACACACAAGTTTATTTAAAGGTAAGTAAGCACACTTTCTTTTAACCATTGGTAAATTTATTCTGTTCCTTGTCCTCTTTGAACTTGTATTATTAATTCTATTATCATTACACATAACTTTACTCTAATGGGATATATTTTTATGTTTTATAGTTCTCTCTCTGTCTCTCGCCTCGCTCTCTCTTTCTCTTTCTTTCTTCTTCTTTTTTTCTTTTTTCTTTTTTTCTTTTTTTTAATAATAAATTTTATTTTTATATTCCCCATACGATTGCAATCCCCCCATTCTGATCCCAATCCCTCCCCTCCCGCCCCCCACCCCCCAAAAAGTGTCTCTGTTTCATAGTTTTTTGTTGATTCTGATTTTCACTTTCTTATAGTTATTCATTTTCCTGGTCCCTTATTTAAGTTTTCTAGATTCCTGCTATGAGTGAAACCATCCCGTATTTTTCTTTTTCTTTCTGGCTTATTTCACTGAGCATGATCCCTTCCAGCGCCATCCATGTTGCTGCAAATTGCATGTGTTTATCTTTTTTGAATGCTGAGTAATATTCCATGGTGTATATGTACCACATCTTCTTGATCCAGTCATCTATTTTTGGGCATTTGGGTTGTTTCCAAAGCCTAGCTATTGTAAACAGTGCTGCTATAAACATAGGGGTGCAGGTGTAAAACTCGCAACAACAAATGTTGGCGAGGGTGTGGAGAAAAAGGAACTCTTCTGCACTGTTGGTGGGAGTGCAAACTGGTCCAACCACTATGGAGAGCTGTGTGGAGATTTCTGGACCTACTAAACATAGAGCTTCCATATGATCCAGCAATTCCACTCCTAGGTATTTACCCAAAGGACACAGAAACATCAATTCTTTCTCTTTCTTTCTTTCTGAGAGACAAAATTTCAACCTTCACACCTGTAGGTAGCAACTTTCAGCAGGAAGTAGGTACAGAAGATTGAGATTGTTGTCCCTACCCCTTAAAGATAAAGAGGGTGAAAGGTCTCTCTGGAATAATTAGACAGGAAGGGCCCTAGGACAGAGACCGAGGGTCTGTACTCAAGGACAGAAATTTTCTGTTCCCACTGATTTCATCAGAATGGTAAATAAGAGGGTTAATAAACATGAAAGTTACTGAAATCTTTGAAAGGGGAAAAGAACGGTTAGCTGCAACTCCTCACCCCTATTCAGTAATTCTGGATGACCCAAATCCTAATTATTTAAACTCTATCTTGGTTTAACCTCCAGGATCCTGGTATGATTCAATAGCCCCTAGTAACCACATATACATATATAATCTCAGCAGCCTTAAAACCCAAGGCAAGATTCTGCCCACACTTTTCTCGAGCATGTACTATATTATTTGCAATAAAAACTTGACTTCTCTCTCACTTAGTCTGACTCCCACACGAATACTTTCTTGCACTAAAGTCAAGGACCAGGGTCCCTCAGCATCCCAGAGCACAACAAAAGTCCCAAAAGAAGGGCCTCCCTGGTGGCGCAGTGGTTGAGCACTGGGTTGCGAAGGTGCCCGCAACCTTTGCAGCACCGGTTCTATCCCCGGCCGCCAGGCAAGGGTCCCACATGGTGCACCGTCCTCTCCTGCCACCTGCTGCTCCCCTCAGCAGCGTACTTCGTCAGTCTGCCTGTTCTGTTCCCGCTCTGCCTCTGGTGAATTCTCTCACCCTCCCATGCTTCTGACTGTACCCGGTGCTTGTATAAATAAATAAATAAATCTTTAAAAAAAAAAAAAAAGTCCCAAAAGAAAAGAAAAAAAGGAAAGAAGAAAATTCTCAAATATTTCAAAGGAAAAATAAATCCCAGGACTTAAGACCATAGCCTTCTAAATCAAAATGACCTTTCAACTGCCTCAGCACAGTGGATGAAAAAAGACTTACGCCACAAAAGCATTTTAAATTCTGTGGGAAAAGAGAAGATTCTATAAACTACCAGGAAGTGAAAAGTGGGGTGAAATGGTTACATACAAATGACAAATAGTCAATATGGATTTGGATTTCTCAAGAATAAGATGGAAAACTAGAAGATAATGAACCTGAAGGAAAATTATTTCTAATCTTAAATCTAAACCCAGTGAAACATTCAAGTATGTAAATGACATAGGCTTGTTATCAGGAAGCTCTGATGGTTTGTTTCACTAAAATGAAAGAGATAAAAACAAGAAAAAGGAAAATATGGGATACAGGAGTAGTTGACTCAATTCAAGAGAAAGGAGAAGGGATTCCCATAATAACAATAAAGGCGATCCTAGGATAATAGCTATGGGCAGCACAAGTAGGTGACAAACCATACAAGTAGAATGGAACGGAAATCTCCAAAAGAAGAAAATATTGCAACTGATAGGTTATCTGATAAGATTAGTACTATGGGAAATTATGCTGAAAGACAATTGTAAAATGTGAAAAAGTTTACCAAAGATAAAAGTAAGCATAGAAAGCAAGGTAATTAAATTCCAAAAATAAAAGAAGAAAGCTAACATAATCATAGCTTGCTAATAATAGATGAAGACATTTAGTGAATGATTACTGGTCAAGCCAACACTGTAACAGCATTATGTTTTGGAAAAATGGGTAAGAATTCTAAATGAGATAGCAGTTTTTAGAAATTTAAAAGAGATAATCCTTATCTACTATAATTAAAAAACTGAAAAAAAAAAGCCTAAGTTTTGTTAAAGGAAAAAGAACGACATGCACAAATTGGTTATCAACATAAAGATGGGAAATGCCAGAAAAAATAAATAAAATATTCAAAAGTAGTTGTGTCTGACAAAGTGAACTAGTGAGAGAAGAGGTAAGGCAGAAAAAGTAAAATTATTTTGGTATAAGCCTTTTAATATATTGGCCTTAAAAAATCTCTATGCATGACTTGATTTGAAAATAACAAATAAGAAGAAGAAAAAAGATAAAAAGGAAGGAAGGAGCCATTCTCAATCTCAAACCATCCTACTGATATTTACTTTCTATTAGGAAAAAAAGTCTTGATTTCATTTTAAAATTCTACAGATTATCTTAATAAGCATTGATATGGCAATCATTTCCCTTTTGGATTACAAGGGATAATTTAAAAGAGAAAGAAATACAGTTGGATAGCTGATGGTATATGCACCTTTACCACATTCAGTTTGCAGTATGGATGAAATAAACTGCTACTTCCATCTGTATTTCACAAAACTATTCTCTACACTGTTCCTAAAGTTATCAACATCAAGATCTTTGCACTACTTGTCCAAATTGGGATGATGGTAGAAACAAGACTATTAAATGAAAATTATCTTCCCTGCAACCCCTCTGTATAATATGCCTCAATTCAGATCACCCCAACTTGGACCAGTTCTGATGTTATGACTCATTCTTTAACAGGAACACCGGAAAGTTAAAAATAAAGAGGAAGCTCTTCTGGGGGTTAATGGCATTTTGATTAAAAGAGACTTTCTGACAGCATTACAAATGGTCACTTTGGGCCCACAGAATCTTTATAACTTTGGCAATGGTTAATAGTCAGCTAGATAATAAGTAATGGGTGGATTTTTCTTTTATAAAATGGGAGAATGCTAACTGTGGAAGGGGAGATGGGAAAAGAGAGCTAGTATGATATCTCAACCACACACACGTGTTAGGAACCAATTAAGGGGGAGGTAGGAAATAGATTTTTGATGATTAGAACCAATTAGGAGAAAGCAAGAAATAGATTTTTGGTGATCGCTAGGGCAGACAATATCTGAGACTAGCTAAATATTCATTAATAATCTTTTCTCTTCCTTGGCTCATATAAAAACCATGTATCCTTAGCAA